GACTGAGTGCTTGTGTACATTTAAGGCTGAGGTAGATAGATTCTTGATCAGTTGAGAAATCAAAGGTTACAGGGAAAGGGCAGGAAAGTGGATGTGAGGAGCATCGGATCAGCCATGATCCTGTTGAATGGCAGAGCAGGCTGAAAGAGGCCGAATAGCCTGCTGCTCTTCCTGCAATGTACAAAGTTTATTCTGGTTTGAGCTTAAATACAGGTAGTAGTCAGGAAACTTGGTTTAATGTTCTGCAGGACATGCGTTCAAGTCCTGGCATGGCAGATGGTGAAATATGAATTTGATTTAAAAATCTGGAATTAAAAAGCCTAATTGTAATCAATGTCAATTGTGGTAACTCCCCATCTGGTTTACTGATGTCATTTAGAGAATGAAATCTGCTGTCTGTGCCTGATCTACATGTGACTCCAGACCCACAGCACTGAGGTTGACTCTCGACTGTCCTCTGGGCAATTAGGGATGGGTAATAAATGCTGTCTAGCCAGCGACGCCCTCATCCCATGAACAGATATGAAAAAAAACACATACCTAGAGGAGGTGCAGAGATAGTGGTAGAGTTGTTTGAAAGAATGACATGATGCTGTGGTGCCATGAGTTCACATTTCACGATGGTAACCGGTGGATTTTAAATTCAATTAATAATTTGAGATTTGCAAACTAGCCACAGTGATAGTAACTGTGAAATGATTATCACAACCTATTTGGTTCACTTTAGGGAGGGAAATCTGCCCTCCGCAGCTAGGCTGGCTTCATATGTGTAACTCCAGGTCCTCAGCAACTTGGTTGACCCCTAACCACCCTCTGGAATGGGGCTAGGAATGTTCAAGGCAACAGATTCTGGCCTTGCCTGCAAAGCCAGGACAACTGGGCCATGTCCCCCAAGTGAATTGAAAAAAAAATGTCTGTGATACATTTAAAATAAATTGTCTGAAGAGAAATAATTGTCAGAGTAATGGAGAAGAGGTAGGAGAATGCACTGAGCTGCATTATGGACAGAATGGCCTCCTTTTGTATTTGATGGAAGCCCATACGTTCCAGAGCCCTGATGAAGTTAAAATGGCGCTTCATGCATAAAGTATGAAGAACAAATCTCAAACTACCTGAGGTTCAGAGGAGAGGTGATGGCCTAGTGGTATTATCACTGGACTGCTAATCCAGAGATCCAAATAATGTTCTGGGGACCTGGGTTTGAATCCTGCCACAGTGGATAGTGAAATTTGAATTCAGTAAATCTCTGGAATTAACAATCTAGTGATGACTGTGAATCCATTGCCAGTTGTTGGAAGGGACCCATCTGGTTCACTAATGTCCTTTTGGGAAGGAAACTGCCATCCTGGTCTGGCCTATATGTAACTCCAGACCCACAGCAATGTGGTTGATTCTGAACTGCCCTCTAGACAATTAGGGATGGGCAATAAATGCTGCCTAGCCACCGACGCCCTCATCCCGTGAATGAATAAAGAAAAAGGCTGTGAGCGTTCTTTACAGAGTGTGTCACACAATTAATCCCAAAAATATCCAGCCAGCAGAATTAAACTGAGCACCTGTACTGTCAGTGTCTCTGTACATTGCACTGTTAGCATGACGGGTTCTAGACTTTATATTCAGCAATATTTTCTTCCCTGTTGAATACTTTTGCCAAAAATACCTTTCTGAGCATAAAACCAGGAAACCAATGTTTTTAATCAAACATTAACTCACAGATGCCCCATTGTGTTTGTCACTAGTAGACATACTCTGCTTGAAATAATATTGTTCTACTAATAGATCTTGCTGGTTGACAGTTTATCAAAGTAGACCGGCAACAATGTTTGGCAGAAAAGGCAGTTAAATTTGTTGAGTCCAACTGGTGAATACATTGCCATCACATTTTGTTTAAAAATGTAACCTTTTTTTAAATTCTCTCGTTGGCTGTAACTCTGGAAGTCAAGGAGGTTAATTGATCCTTCAAACCAGATCCACTATTCAGTGGGATCATGGCTGATGTGGAATAAAAAGCTCAGAAATAAATTTCATTAATAATTATAGTGGAAAATTCTCAGAAGAAATCTGCAGTCCTTACCTGGTCTGGCCTACACGTGACTCCAGACCCACAGCAATGTGGTTGTCCCTTAACTGCCCTCTGAAATGGCTTCACAAGCTGCTCAGTTGTACCAGGCCGCTACAGAAAAAAAAACATTGTGGGTCTATCAACACCCCCAGGTACTGCAGCAGTTAGAGAAGGCAGCTCACCAACACCTTCTCAAGGGCAACTAGGGATGGGCAATAAATGCTGGGCCCAGTCAACGATGCCCACATCCTGTGAATCTACCTCCATGTATCAAACTTCTTGCTTGTTCCTTGACATTCCTAAACTCATCTGATTCACTAATGCCATTTACAGAAGGAAACTGCCATCCTTACCTGGTCTGGACTACATGTGACTCCAGACCCACAGCAATGTGGTTGATTCTTAACTACCTTCTGGGATGGGAAAGAACTGCTGCCCTCATCCTGTGAATGAATTAAAAAAATAACAAATAAAAACCAAAAGAACTGCGGATGCTGTAAATCAGGAACAAAAACAAAGTTGCTGGAAAAGCTCAGCAGGTCTGGCAGCATCTGTGGATGAGGAAACAGAGTTAACGTTTCGGGTCCAGTGACCCTTCCTCAGAACTGAGTAAAAAAAACACATCAGCTTAACAGAAATCTATTAATCTCAGATTAAAATTTGACACTTTGTGTATGTTTTTAAAACAGGTTTAATAAACCTTTCTCCACCATCTAAGTTGTGATATTGGACAATTGTAAGAGCATAAGAAATAGGTGCAGGAGTGGGAATTCATTTAATCTGTATTCAGGCAAAACCTGCTGTTACTTGAATAAAATTACAACGTACGACAGATGTGTAACAATTAGCAAAATATCATGAAGAATAATAAATGTCTAGTGGAGAATTGCTGTCTTGGAGCTGAAAGAGGACATTTGCTGACATTTTCCCACAGCGAGAAGTTAGGGTAAGGAATGCACTGCCTGGAAATGTGGCGGGGGGCAGGTTCGATTGAGGCATTCAGGAAGGGCATTGGATGGTTATTTAAAGAGAAACATGGGTTTGGGGAGAAAGTGGAAAATTGCTCATTTGGAGAGTTGGTGCAGTCAGGATGAGCTAAATAAACACCCTCCTTCAATGCCATAACACTTCTGCGATTATTTTTGGCCACGAGAGACACAGTGGGTTGAGTTGCTGTCCCATGTTGCTAGCTAGCTGCAATTTGTGTAGGAGGTGATGCCCAGTTGGTGACTGAGGGGTTTGGGTTTATTCAGAGACGCATTGTGGCACAAGGTGTTGGGAGTTCCAAATGGCTACAAGGTGCAGCTGTAGGTTGTCCTACTCGTCTCAACTATTCTGTTGTTTGGAGCCGCGAGCAAGGCACTAAGCACCTCCTCCTCATAGAATGGAAGCGTTCTCCTGGAGCTGGCTTGCAGCCATACACATCGGCACATTACTGGTTGCAGAAGGCTGCTAGGTAACAACAGGCTGTCACTACCCCAGAGAGAACCCTTCAAAAAGTCCATCCGTGGCTGTGAAGCATCCTGTCCCCACTGGAGGTGTGAAAGGTGCAATAAGAAAGCAGGTCTTCATTTGAAATATACAAATAATGTGACAATAAGAGGCACATAGATTCATGGTTTGTGTGATTTTTGATTACCAATTTTGTTAACAAAAATCAAATTATAGAACGTGGGATATGGACATCACTGGCTGAGACAGCATTTATAGCACATCCCTTCTTACCTTTGGGAAGGTGGTGCTGAGACGCTGCCTTGATCTGCTGTGGTTCATTTGGCGTAAGTGTAATGTACAGTCATACAGCACGGAAACAGACCCTTCAGTCCAACTAGTCCATGCCGACCATATTCCCAAACTAAACTAGTCCCACTTGCCAGGGTTTGGCTCATATCCCTCCAAACATTTCTTATTCATGTACTTAGCCAGGTGTCTTTTGAATGTTGTAACTGTACCCACATCCACCCCTTCCTCAGGAAGTTCATTCCATAGACGAACCACCCTCTGCGTGAAAAAGACACCCCTCCTGTCTTTTCTAAATCCTTTTCCTCTCACCTTAGAAATATGCCCCCTGGTTTTGAATTCTCCCACCTTACGGAAAAGACCTTTGCTATTCACCTTGTCTACATGGTTTTATAATAACACTGTCAGGGAGGGAGTCCCGCGATTTTGACCCAGTGACACTGAAGAAATGGTGATAAATTTCCATGCACTTTCGAAAGACTGCAATGTTTGGCTTTTATTTCTTTTTTTTCTACTTAATACTAAGAATTACTGTAATGTTTAACTTTTAACTTTGTTCTTTCTTTCTATGTTTTTCTTATGATTCTGTACCTAGGTACTTTGTACCTAAGATGGCGCCTTGTGAGGTGACATTATACACTTTTCACTGTATCCTGTACTTCTGTACTTGAGTACATGTGACAATAAAATCTAAATCTAAAGTCAGGATGGTGAGTGGCTTGGAGAGGAACTTGCAGGGGGTGGTGTTCCCATGTACCTGCTGCCCTTGTCCTTCTAGATGGAAGTTATAAAAAGTGCTTGAAAGGACCTTTGGTGAATTACTGCAGTGCATCGTGTAGAATGCTGAATAAAAAAATGTGCAGCATTAGCGGCAAATCTAAACAGAAAGTACAGGCAGAAATTATATTTATAAGAAATAAAGGCCAGTTCCCATGAGATGAGTGTAGTACACTGCATTTGACCCCAGTTTAACACTCAATGAATCTCATCTCAGTTCAAACAATTGTATTGTGTTTGGAAAAGTATTACAGCATAGTAATACTGTCTCCTTTGATGAGGCTAATGCTGAATCTAATACCTTAATCCTAAAAATATTCCATTAGTCAAAATTTATCTACTGTCTCCAGTGAGGTTATTCTTCACATTGATGCATTTGTTTGATCCCTGTCTGACCTTCATTGTTTTCTTTCTTTTCAAGTGGCTTCCCCTCGCAGTCAGAGGAGCACAGCACAGTCTGCCGACTCAGTCGTTTCTTCTCCTTCCAGCAGTCCGCACCACATTGTATCCTGGCAGAGTGGGTGAGTCACATAGTCTGAGGGGGACAAAGCCTATTGTCTTTTCTCATCATCAAAGCTCCCAACTCACAGAGCACACAGCCGTCCACACCCAGATTCCTCAAACACAGTTTCAAAGAGTGATTTGATCACACGTTAGAAAAATCTGCCTTCTATAATTATCACACCAAAAATGCAGAACGTGAGCAGACTGTACTTTCACAGTTTGATAGTAGAGTTGACAGGTGAGCAGACAGAGGTGTAATAACAGTTATCCCACAGAGTTCATCAGCCATGATGGCTGTTGTCAGGGTTAACATTGCACAATGCTTAACATTTACATTGTGCTCTGTTGAAATTGAATGGTGAGCAAATAAGAATTAAATGCCACATTGTCAAAACAGAACATGTTGGAAATGCACAGCGCACCTAGCAGTGTCTAAAAGAAAATGCCTTGTGATATCGATATGCTGAACTTGATGCAGTCACAATCCAAGTCAGTCCCCTGCCTCCCACAGGATGTTTAAAAAGCTCAAACCAACTCAAGGGGAATAAATATTCTGGGACTTTCCTCCATAAGTATTAAAGCCATGATGTGGAGATGCCAGTGTTGGACTGGGATGGACAAGGTCAGAAGCGATAGGGTGACAAAGGAGCAGCACTCCAAAAGCTTGTAATTTCACATAGACCTGTTGAATTATAACCTGGTATCATGTGACTTCTGATCATGAGTATTAAAGGCAGTCAATTTCCAGAGATTTCTGGGACCAGGAGATACAGATCCTTAGGTCTCACTACCTTTTGACAGGTCAAAAAGCAAGACAGGAAGATTTATGAGTCTGGCCTTGCTTCCTCTTTCATAGACTGAAAGTTAGATCTTGTATTTCTGGTATTTTCTGGTTTCACACTGTCTCTGTGTTAATCTCATCTTGAGAATTTAAACACTACGGTTCCTCTCATTTCTTCTGGTCTCCTGCTGTTCCTAAAAAGCTTTTAAATAATTAGCACTTTCAAAAAATCTTTCCTATGTCTGAAAAGAGTCAGATAACACTTTTAAAGAGAACACTCAATATCATGGAACATGCGAATTTTATTTCAGGGACAGTTTAAACTTAAACCTAAATTTAAAGTTACAAAATTTGAACTTTTAACTTTCTTAAAGTTCCAATGAAGAAAAACCACAACTTGTAAATGAAATATTTGAAACTGAGTGTTTCAGCTCTTATCGCAGATCTTCAGCAGGATTGGATGAACAGTGTTGATTTTTCACAAATTGGAAAATTTAACTGAATAATCCCGCAGTCTGTTATGATTATGGAGGGACCATCTCTGTTTGATTCCCCAGTTCGCTCTGTGTGTTATAAACACCATCCCTGGCTAAGTAATTGCTCAGGCAAAGGTCCTGTCTTTGCTAAAATAAAACAAAGGCCTACAGTTGCTGGAAATCCGAAACAAAAACAGAAATTGCTGGAGAAACTGATCAGGTTTGGCAGCGTCTGTAGAGAGAGTTAAAGTTTGGAGTCCAGTTCTGAAGAAGGGTCACTGAGCTTGAAACGTTAACTCTGTTTTTGTCTTAACAGACGCTGCCAGACCTGCTAAATTTTTCCAATAACTTCTGATTTTGGTTCTGTCTCTGTTATGAGTGAGTACAGGGCACACATGAGGTACCTGGAACAATGTCTTCACTTTTCTTGTGGCTATGTATCTTGGATTATTTTATCCTTATACAATAACATGGGATACACCATTGACCGCAGTGCACATAAAACCTGACATAAGTGTAAAATGGAGTGCCTGTTCAACATGCCAAGTTTATATGTTCACACCCTCATTGGATCTACACACCAAACCCGGCTCTCACTATCTAGTACCAGGCTATCATGCTGTAGGTTCCTCATTAAGGAAGATGTTGTGTTTCAGTTATGGAGCCTTCATTTAAATGGCATCAATCAATTATCTACTCCCTCTGTTGATTGTGAATACAAAACTTACTGTTTCAGTCCAAGAATTTGCACAAAACTGAGTTTTACAAAGAGTTATTTAGTAGCACAGAACCTACAGTTTGCTGAAAAAAGAGACACATGTAATTTTGGGCACTCTGTTTTGGGTTTTGCAAGCACCAGCTCATTATGTCAAGTCAGAATCTTGCCTGTTGCAACCAGCGAAAGGAATAAACTGGTGTTCAATACAGTCTGCCCCATCCAGTCACCATGATGACCCCAAACAGCCCACGTTTGCAAAAGCCAAAACACAGTGTTTGACATTAGGTGCGATTCTATGACTGAACAGCATTCACTAAATGATCCCAAATGTGCTGCGAATTACACTAACAACCAGTTTAGGATTTTCAGTCAGAATCACATACTTGCAAGTACCAGTAGCTACATACAACAATACACAGGACCCCATCCCTTCTACACAGAAAGAACATGTATGTGTTTGAACTCCATAAAGCAAGTGACAGACACTGTCTGGTTCACTGCTCAGGGAAATGCCTTGACAAATCGGATTCAATCAGCCTGGTTTAAAATTTAAACAAAGCTTGGCAGTTAACTGTCAGCAACATCAAACTGGTGCTTTCTCTATGGCTATGTCTCCACAAATCTGCCTCCACTTGCCAGTCAGTAGTCTTACTGAAAACCAATCAGCACTCTCCTCTCATGCAATATAAATGTTTGTTTCCCTTTGTTATTCTTACAGACTGCGCTGATGATTGCATGATGAAAAGCTCTGATAAAATGTGTCTTTTTTCAGCAAAACTGTTCTCCTTAGCAAAGAGACCATAAGGGATCTCACAAGAGGTGTTCAGAATAATGAGGAGCCTGTATGGAGGAGCTACACTGTGAAGCTTCTTTTGCTGGATGGGTGGGGGGCAGAGAACACCACTTTCATGTGATTGGCAAAAGAACCAAAGGACACATGAGGATATCTTTCAGGACCATGGAATTCAGTGGCTGAGAGTGTGTAGAAGACAGATGCAATCACAGCTTCCCAAAGGGAGCTAGATAAGTATCTGAAAACAGGGAAAAGGTACAGGGTTTCAGAGAAGGGGCAGGAGGGTGTGACTAGCTGAGAGCCAACGTGAACATAACAAGCTGACCCCTCCCACCCAGTGTAGGAAATAAAAGCTGGAAATTTTGGTTTTTTTAACAAAATCTGGCCCTGTTTCTGTAAAATTAACCTTTGAATGGAAGTGAACCTTTTTGACAATTACCATTAAAGCTCAGAGTTAAGGGTGAAGAATGTGCGCTGTATGTTATAACTTGTGTCAAGTCATCATTTTGTCGTCTATGTATTCACTGTTCAATGTCTTCAGATTGTGTGGCAAAGTTGAAATCTGAACAGAATTACTGTAATGTAAGACTAAAGTAGTTTCAATATTACATCCTAATTCTTCATTACTTTAACAATAAGAAATTAAATCACCAACAAGTTTCTTGCTAATTTCTGAACTACCAATTCTAACTAACATTTTCCCTGCTTTCTTCTTTTTACTAATATTCAGTCTTATCTGCTCCTCTTTTCACCTGCCTTTCTGTAGAGGTACAACAGAAACGAGCACACCTCACGATGAACAGACCCAATCGCCAACTCACCAAAGCCCTGTAAAATAGAGGTACGGTAATAATCGGTTATGTGATATAACACCCCTCACTGTCTGTCTTTGTGCCATTTAACTGTATGTGGGATGGTTCATTTTCTTACAGTCCCTCTCTGACATCACTGTGCATGTCCCTGCTCGCCAAGGACTGCGGCTATTTAAGGAGGCAACTCACCACCACCTCCTCCAGGGCAATTAGGGATAGGCAATAAATGCTGGCCCAACCAGCAATGCCCACGTCCTCTGAACGAGTGAAATAAATAAAACCAAAAAGGAAAGAGCTTTGTTGAAATCACACCTTTGTGACAGAAATAAAATGGAGTCGAGAGTTTTATTTTAGAAGTTTTATTATTGTAGCCACTCCCATAGGTTCAGGAAATAAATGCAATGTGTGGCTTAGCATTAGGCATTTGGCCTAACTTTTGTCTTTTCTCTTTTACAATCCTGGTCACCAGAAAGTCCCAACCTCATTTTCTGATCTGCTACACTATCTGCAGTCCTCTGCTCAGTATTTGAGCCCTTAAGGTTTGTTTGGAGTTATTGTGCACCTGATCGCCTTTCACTTACTCTGTGTTTGAAAGTGTAAATGTGTAATCATCAGCCTGAAAGGTACTGCCCACTTTAATCCTGTTGAACCACTTGGGAAAGTGGCAGAGTCTGTCCCTAACCCCTGCCCACACACTGGGAGTAGAGTCCCCTAGAGCTTCCATCCAGGACAAGAGGCCTGTACCAATTGTTTAGGGTAGTCACAGCAGCCGAGGAATTAAAATTCGGTTCAATGATCTTGGAATAAACAGCTGTTCGTAAGGGTGACCATTTAATCACTGAATTGTGGCAAAATCCTCTCTGGTTCACTGATGGCCTTTCGAGAAGGAAATCTGCTGTCCTTAGCTGGTCTGGCCTACATGACTGCAAAGCGATGTGGCTGACCCTTATATTCCCTTTAAAATGGCTTAGTAACGCCATCAAATTACATCAACAATTGCTGTGAAAGGCTGTAACACAATTCTACAGCCATGTCTTCATGGTAGAAGGTTGCTCATCACCACCTTCTCCAGGGCAGTTAGGAGCAGATGATAAACGCCTACATCTCAAATAAGAAGAATACATGCCTGGAGAACTGAAACAATGTTTTTCAATTTTAAATGCCCTGAAAATAATAAAGATTTGACTCAGTTGTTCTCCGTAAATAAAAATCCAAACACTTTCTATTCGATCTCAGTAGATGATGAGAGGGCAAAATTAATCCCATTCGAAAACCATTAGCTAGTTAGTTTTCTGTCTGTATCTTTATACTGAGCCGGTGAATTCTATAGTTTATTTTGAATCAGTCCCCTGAGGCAGTTTTATGGATTGCTGTTGAGGTGGTTAGAATGCTCCTTCAACAGAGAATGTTCTCCTTCTGATTCACATGAGAACATTGATCTATCTGACCCCATGTGTCACACAAAGGACCAGCAAGGTTTGACCATGAGGAGTCTGAATGGAGCAGTTGTTTTTTGGTTGTGTCTAACATTCTGAGAGAACTCTGATGGTCGATCCATTGAGACAAAGTGAAAGCTTGTCAATACCAACCAACGAGGAGCTAGCACACTTTAAATACGTGTTTGTGCACAAAGACCCAGCCTGAGAGTGTTCAGTCACGTCGTGCTTTTATGGTCTAAGGATAGAACAAGCCATACATAAGAGGAATTTTGCAACCTCTCAGTTCAGATGTATCGCTCCTCATTTACTCAAAGGAAGGGAAAGTCATGTCTTGATTTCAAACTGTTGTGAAAAGAAGCAATTCTGGGAAGTTTCATTTTTTTTTTGTCAGATTTTTGAACAAGGTGGCTTTGTGTTTGGAATTACAGAATTTCAATTGGCTCCCTGTTTTTCATCAAGCTGATAACTGATATGGGTTAGCTGCTCAGCAGAAAGCCTGGCTAGATTTACAGTGTTCCAGCTGCTTTATGAGACAGAACTTATAGGATTTCAAAGGTGCCATTCAAAACAGCTCAGAGGTTAGGGCCAACTGCTTGATCCTTTGGCCTGCTGACCAGTTTCTTACATAGGGCTGAGGTATTTCACTTTATATGAATCCATACTCTGAAACTCAGCTCGGAGCTAGCTTGCCCAGGCAGCACCAACAGTGGTCTTAGAGAGATCCTTTGGTATAGGTTCACCTTCCTCTCTCTGTAGGGTATGCTTTAATGCAGCATGAATTTAGAGAAAACAATTTTCTCTGAAGTAGAAGTAGCAAAGTATGTCATTGCTGTGATCCTTGACCTCGTTGTGCAGGACCTTCACGCCATCTTTTACTGAAATGAAGAATTTTCTAAGTCACAATCTGATTCCCTGACGTTAGTCTCTTGTCTTTTTAGACCCTACCAGGATACTTGCTACATGGACTCCCCACTCTATTCAGAATTGGCAGACATTCAGTGGTATGGGAGTGACAATGCCAAGCCTGGAACTCTCGTCTGACATCTGACCTCAAATCAAAGTAGAAAACGTCAACACCCCTCAGTGATCACTTCACTGCCCCTTGACACTGCCTTACTCTTGTACACAGTCATTAACCAGCAACTGCAGCTCCAAGCTCACTCACAGAAGGAGTCATGCAGCAAAGCCAAGACAAAGCTTAATTAAAGTACCGCAGACTGTGCTGTCCCTCAGGTAACCACTGGCCAACAGCCGCAAGGTCTTTATGAATAAAACACGACACTGTTTTTTAAACTGTGAATCATATGCACCAGACATCCCGCTCTTAACGCCTGGTGCATGATTTTATTTTATTCCCTAATGCAGACAGTGTAATAATAAAGTACTTCAGAATTTAACCAAGTTTACTTGAAGATTACCAAAGACCAATGAAAAGCTAAAAGGAAAGAATTCGATGGACATTGGCCACTGGTTACCTGACAAATAAAAAGTTGTTAATCTCTTGTTTCATTAATGGCTCTGGCATATAATATGTGAAAGATATTGAACATGCATTCCGCACAGTAAAACATGCCAGAGTGCAGAAAAGCTTGTTTTCCTACAATAAAGCAACAGAGTTTTGTAATATATTTGTGGATAGTATATATGAAGGCTGGATGAGCTGTTCCTGATGCTCCGAAGCGTGGTCTAGTAGCTAATACATTAATTATATCAGAACAAAAGCACAGAGTTAACATAATCTGCATATTTCTGGACTGAACAAATATTGCATAATGGTACAATTCCAGTCCTAGTTTAAGCTTCAAAACAGCTCATCGATCGTGAATGCTCTTCAAGGACTTCAGCTGATTTATTGGACAAGACCTTGGAGAGTTGTCAACCCTTAGAAGGCCTCACAAATTTTTAAGAAGTATTTTCCCATGAAGTACTCATCAGAAATAATTTAATGGCTGGCACGGAAAGTTCACAAAGTCTGTGGAGCACAGACTTCACAGCAAGGTGACTGTTGCAACAGGACACTGATCTGGCCAAAAATATAAAAGGGAGCTTTTTTTTTAATTCTCTCCTTCTGAACATTTGATGGTTTCCTGTTCGACTGGACGATGGTGGGGTTGGCGCGGGGCTCATGGGTGGCGGGGAGATGGGGGTGGAGTGGGGCGGGGGGGGGTGGGGGGGGGGTAACAGGGGGGGGGGGGGGAGAGACAGCAGCAGGAATGCCTGCCTTATGGAAACGCTGCTTAGTAAGCTGAAGCAGAACCATTGTGTGTGGTCCCATGGACAAGAAAGGATTGCTTCAGCAAGCTGAAAAAAAAACCCCAGACAGCACTGTTTGTCTTTGTGAGAGGACCCGGAAGGATTCACGTTGAGTTATAAGAGAGGCTAACGTTCACAAACATTACCATACATTTGTTGTGAGGCAGAATTTTTCTAAATACAGTTTCAGATACCATTGTGCAAAATGTTAAACTTCCAATATGTTTTCTAAATCAGTATTAGTTTTAGTTTGGACATAGCAAACCAGATTCAGGTGCTACCCAACAAACAGTTACCACTAGAATAGTTGTAGGGTTTTACATCTATAAATGTCAATAGTTTTCTTACAAGTTGTGTAAATTAAAGCAACGTAGTTATGACTAATTCAGTAGAATGCTCCCAAAAAATGGCTGTGGATCTTAAAAGAGCATGTAAAATGTCCTTCTTTTCTCCTGCCCCTCCTCTGGTTTCTGTTTCATTTTAATCAAAGAAGATTATGTATGGTGTAGAAAATGCAGAATTGTGACATTCTGCGATTAATTTATTCCTTTTGTATTAAGAATTTGTATAGTACCTTTACATTTTGCAGAACAGTGTTGTCAACAATTCTTAAATGAAGCATTTTCAAGATAATAAATTTGGTTGTTCTTGAAATTAACAAAATAAATTATTACTGAATGTTAGAAGAATTTGATTGTGGTATTTGTCTCAGTAAACGGACTTGTCAGACACATGCACCTATCACCTGGTTAGCCACAAGCATCAGTCTGCTATGGGAGCCCATTCATCTCTGAGACAATTCTAGGTACATGCCACATCATGTCAAACTCTGCCTCATTAAGGTATCCCCTCACTGATGAAAGTATAAAACTCGCTTGATCTGCTCCAGAGAGAGAACCACTAATACTGTTCAGAGAAATGCAGGGAAGTTCTTCCAGTATCCTGTCCAACCAGAATCTCCACAAAAGAAGCACCAATCAGACAGCTTAATGGGTCACTACCTCATTGCTGTCTGTGGGAACTTGCTTTGGCAAAGCTGGCTGTTGTATTTGACTGCATGACACTCGTTGAACTTCAAAAATAAATCATTGGCTGAGAAGCACTCTGGAACCTCTTCAGAATGTGCAAGGCGCTATTTTAATGCAAGTTCCTTCTTCCCTGGCCATGCTGCCAAAGTAAAGTCATTGATTCAGCCAACTGGGAGACAGGGCTAGCTGCTGAATTAAAAGTGTCGCTGATAACATTCTTTGACCAGGACGTTGTCTCATCTGTAAACAGTAAGAGGGAGTAGCGTTGAGGGTGAAAACACTTGACAAAAAAAACTTGTTTTGCTGTGAGGATGATTGACTTTGAGTAAAACTTCACCATATCCTTCACACAGAGGAATAGCTTTGAGATACAAGTCAAATAGTGCTCTGAGAGAGACAGATTGGAGGCCTCAATTGTGACTGAAGGACCTTGAACTTACAATTTGACTAATGCTGTTTCAAAACACCTAAACAATAAGTGACACCCCATCCTCCTGTGTAAGTACAGCAAGGTGTTACAGCTGTAAACCAAACATCAGCTGCATCGTTATATTTTGGATTGACATTTGTCAAAGAATCTGTGCGATGTAATAACTATAAAATAGAGTTTGACCTATGATCCTGGTAATCTAGTACTGACAGCAAATCAGTTCCACTCTACATTCCACTGTACAAATAATTTGAAAATTTAAAGGTTAAAAGTGTTGTAGCTATTGTAGATTATCTGACATATATAATTACATATAATTGGGGGAGAAGCTGATATAGTGGCTATGACACTTGATTAAGGATCCAGGCTAATTCTCTGTGGACAAGGGTTCAAACCTGCCCCTCACCCCCAATTGTAGGTGGAGGAATTTACATTAACTTTTTTTTCGAAAATCTGGTATAATACGTGTGAAATTTTCATTGCTGACAAGCCCCATCTGGTTCAGTGAGGTCTGGAGCTGTGAGTTCTACACTCCTCTGAGCATACAGCAACAGATTATATGAAGCATAACTACATACAGAGGATAGTAAGAGCAGAAGTAGGCCATTCAGCCCATCAGGTCTGCACCATCATTCAATGAGATCATGACATCCCCAACTCTGCTTTCCTGCCTTTTTCTTATACGTCTTGATTCCCTTACTAATTAAAAAATGTCTATCTTAGCTTTGAATAAACACAAATGAATAGATTCAAGAACAACTTCTTCCCTGCTGTTACCAGACTTTTGAACAGACCTCCCGGGATCACCAGACCCGAAACATTAACTCTGTTTTCTCCTTCACAGATGCTGCCAGACCTGCTGAGCTTTTCCAGCAACTTTGTTTTTGTCCCAAATATTAATTCAGATCTTTCTGTTTGCACCTTCTCACTGGCTGTAACACTGTACTCTGCACATTGTGCTATTACCCTGATGCACTTTGTATGGTACAATGTGCCTGTATAGCACACAAAACAACATTTTTCACTGTATCTCAGTAAATGTGACAATAAATCAATCAATCACTTAATGGCCCCGCTTCGACAGCCCTCTGCAGTAAAGAATTCCACAGATTCACTCCCCTCAGCAAGAAGACATTCCTCCTTATCTTTGTCTTAAATGGGTGACCCCCTTATTCTGAGATTATGCTTCTGGTCCTAGACTGTCCCAGAGGGGAAACAATTTTTCTGTACCCACCCTGTCAAATCCCCTAAGAATCTTGTATGTTTCAATAAGGTCATCTCTCATTCTTCTAAATTCCAATGAATACAGGCCCAACCTACTCAAGCTCACCTCATGAGACACTCCCTTCCATTACCCTTCAAAGATCTGAAGAAGAATCATATTAGATGTGATATGTTAACTCTGTTTCTCACTCCACAGATGCTGCCAGACCTGCTGAGTTTCGCCAGCATTTTCTGAGTAAGTTTCAGATCTCCAGCATCCACAGTATTTTGTTTTCATCTTCAAACAAAAGTGTGATCTACATCATATTCTTGAAAATTATTAAATTCTTAACTGGGATTAATATCATCCCTTCATAAAAAAATAAAGAAAGTCTTGAGTCTAAGGTGACTGTCAAGTTACAATGTGCTATAGAGCGTTCATCTTGCTACAGTAAGGCCAAGTTATAAGTTCACTGTGCGCTCCTATACCAACATTGCTGCCAACAATGGGCTGTTTTGTCTGCACACAGGTGTGTGAGCCTTCAGGAGGCCAAGTTTGGGAAGGAACCAGCATTCCCAATCAGCATTTCATTCCCCATCTGCAATGTATGGCACTTCTTGACAAATGTACCTTTTTTGGACTAAGGTCTGTTATTTCACATGGTTTTACTTTGACTTTTCCTGGCTTAGCAGACAAAGAAAAAGTGACAAGGGCTTTCCAGCATACAACCTCTTTCCACACTTATTCGCTCCCCATGGTTTTGGTAACATCCATCTGTTGTGCATGTTCTTTCCCTGTGGGCTGTGTAACATGTAGATCACATCAAAGGCCGAGAAAATATTATCAATGACAACCGAACCCCCAACTGCGATCAATAAAAACTTTATGCCCTAGAATATCTCTTCAAACTGAGAATAGAAGTGTATTTCTAATCAAGGTAATCAATTCTTAGTGAACAGTCGACCATGTCAATCTGATTGATGAGCAAGGAATAGTTGCTATTAGTACTTCTGCTTCTTCGCTTATGAAATTATTATTCAGAAGTGAATTACTGTTTCATTTTGATGGTGAGTTTAATTTGTAATTGGTGATTCCCTCTTTCTACTGGAAAAGATACACTGTGGGTACAAACAACTGGTTAATATTCAGTCATTCGTTTTAAGGTGTTACACAACTTAATGAAGATATATTGAGCCTCAAGCCTCACAACCCATTTGGGATTTTATAATTCTCATTCTTCTTTTCAAATTGGTCCACAGCCACATCTGTCCCCCTCTCTGTTTTCTTTGTAGACTCAGGATCACGGGTGACCTGTTCACCCTGGTACTGAGGTGGTTGACGATTTCTGGTGCAGGCCCAATGCTGATTCCACCGCATGAAGGGGCAGATGGTGCCAGTCAAGTTGGACAGAAGAGTTGTTTGGGGGGGTGGTGGGGAGCGGAGGAGGGGTCAAGTGCCCCCTCACCGCTGGGTGTTCTCGACAAAGTCTCTCAACATGTTCAGTATCTTCCCAGAATGAACAGTCACATAGTCATACAGCACAGAAACAGAACCTTCGGTCCAACCAGTCCATGCCGAACATGTTCCCAAACAAAACTGGTCCCACTTGCCTGCATTTGGCCCATATCCCTCCAAACCTCACCTATTCATGTACTTATCCAAATGTCTTTTAAATATTGCAATTATTAGACCATAAGACATAGGAGCAGAAATTAGGCCATTCGGCCCATTGAGTCTGCTCCACCATTCAATCATGGCTGATAAGTTCCTTAACCCCATTCTCCTGCTTGATCCCCTTGATAATCAAGAACTATCTATCTCAGTCTTAAATGTACTCAATGACCTGGCCTCCACAGCCTTCTGTGGCAGTGAATTCCATAGATTCACCACTCTCTGGCTGAAGAAGTTTCTCCTTATCTCCGTTCTAAAAGGTCTTCCCTTTATTCTAAGGCTGTGCCCTTGGGTCCTAGACTCTCCTACCAATGGAAACATCTTCCCAAAATCCACCCTGTCCAGGCTATTCAGTATTCTCTAAGTTCCAATTAGATCCACCCTCATCCTTCTAAACTCCAATGAGTATAGTCCCAGAGTCCTCAAACGTTCCTCATATGTTAAGCATATACCGGCATCTACAACTTCCTCTGGCAGTTCATTCCACACACAATCCACTCTCTATGTAAAAAAGTTGCCCCTTGTGTCC